ATTTTGTTGTGGATATTTTTAGTAAAAAGTCACAGACAGGTCACAGGCAAAGAAAAATTCACGGAAGCCGTGACCTGTCCCTGACTTTTACTAAAAATATCCACAACAAAATGGGGAGCCTAGGCAGCTGCCTGGGTCCCTCTCCACTGGCAGCTCTGAGCTGCGGGGGTCCCCAACCCGCCACCCAGAGCCCCCGCCTTCTGGGGCGGCAGGGGTACACCGCAGCTTCCAGCCTCCACAGGCAGCAGGAGACCCTGCAGCTCCCAGCCGGCGCTGGCTGAAGCCATGGAGGTCTTTGGAAGTCACCAATTCCGTGATCTTTGAGTAAATCGCAGCCTTAGCGATGAGTGGCAGAGCAGGAGGCCTGGCTCCTAGTCCCCGTCTCTAGTCGGATGATCACACTGCATCGTCTGGGTTTAAGACGCAGTGTTTGTGCATCTTGGCTAGCCCTCCATATCCAGCCCACGTTAAACCCCGGCCGTGGTACATCCCGGAGATGGCTGAACAAGTGACCCCACCTTGGCACCCTGCTGCATAGGTATGTTCTCCCTGTGCACCAAGAGGGGGCAGGGTGCCATGCCCGGCCTATGCTTCTGCTTGGGGAGGCCTGGTCTGTATGTAACACAGGGCCTCTGGATGGCTTGTTGGCAGCGGGGACTGAACCCCGGATTTAAAGCCATGAGCCTACACTGCCTGGGCTAGAGACCCAGTTCCTAGCAGGCTCAAACTCTGAGGCAGTCCAGCCACTCGAGGGGGATGGAGAGCCCCACCAGGCAAGCCCCTGTTCAGCCGTACATGAGACCCAGCAATGTGAGAAGCCCTTTCCTCCTCGCCATCGGAGCAGAGCCATTCCAGCCCTGGTAGCATCGAGGGCTTGGGCAGGGGCCGCTGGCTCTGGGACTGGCTCTCTGCAGCAGGCTAGAGATCATTAGGGGAAGGCTCCATTTAACGGGGCCTGCCAGACAGCAGGGTTGAGATGCACAATGGGATGCAGCAAGTGACCCATCCTTTGCAGGGTCCCCCTGCGCACTCCTAGAGGTGGGCCCAAGCCGTGATGTGGGGCTGCAGGCCCAGGCCTCGGGGCAGGCCCAGCTCCA